GTATTTTGGGGTATCTCTAAATTGATGACCTGTGGGGGCTTTTAAAGCGTCTTCTATGGACTTTTTGGGGTACTGGGGTTTTTTGCCGTTTTACGGATGCACGCAATTTGTAACCTGGGCATGTTGGGTATCGTTTTACTCGTTGTAACCTCATCTTTTATATTTCATTTAAAAAATGGGTATTTTGTTGTGTTTTGGGGTATTTAATTAAATTTTTCACTAAATATTGGGGTTTAATAAGGAGTTGCGCTAATATTGCGCAACATAAAAATTTGCAACTACCACCATTTTATTCTATAGGGTCTTGGCATTCAGAAAATATATAATGTTGGGGGGTTTTAAGTAATTTTCAGGCCTAAAATGTGGAATATAACATGGCTAAAAAAAAATGAAAAAAAGGCCTCCATCATGAAGGGGTTAAAGAAAGGAGAAATGTATAGGGGGAAAAAAACAGATTTGTTTTAATGTTTCAGTGGCCGGCCTTTTTGCAGTAAAAAGACTTTAAAAAAAAAAAAAAAAGGAGGAAGGAACTTCAATATGTGCGTTATACGGTTCGGGTATACAGTTGAGTTATACTTAATCATTTAAAACTAGTTTAGTTTCACTTCACTATTTTTTCTCTTTTAATACTTGGTGTTTCTTTCTCTATTCCTATTTAAGGTTGGTTGGTTGGTTTTTGTATCTTCTTCTTTTTTTTTTTTTTTTTAAATTTCTTATGTCTTTCTTTGGTTATGATACTATAAAAATACCATGCGAAGCAGGGTTTTCTAATGTCTATTTGTGCATGAGTCTACTGTTCTTTGACATAGTGGTTGATGTGTTTTTTGACTGAGTTCTGTTGTTACCTTGAGAAGAATCCTCGTTTTGTAAATGTTAAATAATTTATTTTAAAAAAAAACCTCCAGTTTAGATTGAATAGTTCTTGTTTTTATTCTTAAGGGACCACAAAGCTGTTGGAAGGAGACCATTTGACAAAATGGCAACTTTACTGGCCTATCTTGGACCTCCAGAACACAAGCCTGTGGCAGACACTCATTGGTCAAGTCTGAATCTCACAAGTTCCAAGTTTGAAGAATTTATGACTAGGTAACTACAGAATCTTCCTACAGAGAATGTCTCTTGGCTTTTTTTTCTGCTCAGACTAATTGATCTGTACCCCCACCCATATAGGCATCAGGTACACGAGAAAGAAGAATTTAAAGCATTAAAAACTCTAAATATATTCTACCAAGCAGGGACATCAAAAGCTGGAAATCCTGTTTTCTACTATATAGCAAGACGGTGAGTTGCACTTGATGGATCATATGTAAAAACGGCTGTCATTTTGTTGTGGGGTTTTAAATTTGAGTCCAACAAAGTTTGAATTGCCGAACAGATACTGTGTTTGATCTTCATCACCTTGGCAGTAAGATACTGGGCATATGTAAAGTAATAAAGCTGCTAGTTTCTAATATCTCATCAGTTGCAACAAAGAACATATTTTGAGTTTTCAAGAATCATCATTAAAATGTTATAGAAATGTTGGGGTTTTGGGGATATGCAGTATTGATCAAAGTGGGCTTATGCTTTTTTATGAAAAGTAAAATCTTGCAGTAAAAGAGTTATTGGTGTAGAGTTTAAAATTCAATATACAAATGTTCTAAGGTAGTTTAAAGTGGAGTTAGGATCCAAAGTAATTATGCACTGTCCTATAGCCCCCAACACAGCCAAAATGGAAGATTCTTCAGAAAAGTGTTTTATGTGGCAATGGGCTCAATTATTGAAGTTTTACACAAGCTTCAGAATTACAGCCGTGTGACTGTCATTTTTCAAATGTTGTTGACCTAGCTGAAAATAACGGTCACTCTTATGAACATAAGAATCCTTGCCTTGATGATTTAGCTGTGTAAATTAATCCTAAATTTACAAAAATTGGGCCCTGGCTTTTCTGGTTACAAGCGGCTTCGGGAGGTCACTGCCTTGCTGGTGCTTAGGACTAAATAAGAGTGATATTCTTTGCATGTTATCAAAATGTTATCACTCTAATAATTTTTACAGACGCAACACAATTGCATAGTTCTAAGACATTTTACCATGCAACATTCTGTTCATTGATCCTATAGAAAAAATATTGCCAACTGCCTTTTCTAAACCGCCTTTAGTAAACAGTACCTAACAAAGAACAAGCTGCTGCATTAGGTTAGGGTAATTAAAATACTATTTTTAGGCATGGCACTCTCCAGGACTGGAGGGAGGGGACTTGCTAGGCATAAAAGATTAGCATGCAAGCCCAACTGTATGCACTATCAAAAGCAAGTCAGTGGCATGTTTCATTTGATTTCAATATTATGTAACATTTAGTATTTCAGATTTTCCATTTGCCTGCTAGCAATAAAAGGAAAAAGAAACCCAGTGGTAGTCAGTTTGGTATTTAGAGCTAACAACTCTCTATCTATAACTTTGGTGATTGGCTACTCAGGTACCCAGCACTGCATCATAGGAGGAAAGGGATCGCATGTTTCTCATACCTTAAGGTATAGGGAGAGAGAGGAGAATTAAGTAAACCCATTTCCTTGCCCTGTATGGGAAACGACAGGTTCACTCTCTTGGCAGCAGGTCCTTTACTTAAAACTGTCTACATGTATGTTAATTTTTTTTTTTCCAGAACATCTATAGCTGTTCTTGTGTTACTCAAATATTTGTTATTCAACCAGATCTTACAATACTGCCGAGATCCGCCGACCTGGCTTATTGACAGTGGACTCTGCCTATCTAGACAGCTGTTTCCACCCCTTCCCCCCCATTCATTCCTACAGTGAGCGCTGGAGGACCGGAGAGGGGGGAACATCTGCGGGTGTGTTGAATGACTGTCACCGCTCTCTGTAGGGAGATGATCGGGAAGCGACGGTATGTGTTGGCTTACTTCCCGATCTATAGAGTCAACGTGCGAGTGTTTTTTTTTCACTCACCTCATAGTTCTCCTTTATCATATACACCTTTGATCTTATCACAGGAAACTAATTTTTTTTTAAACTTTCAGTTAAACAGTGAACACATCCAGAAATATTTTAAACATTTATTGTATGAATATGCATTACATATATAGATTAAACGTTTGTGCATTAGTACAGAGATATTAAATGATTCACATTCAGTTTTCATTAAAGCAGTGCTGGTTTGTAAATCTTTAAATCCTTGGCAGAGTTGGCGACAGAAATGCAGACTTTAGCTCATCAAATAGCTTTCAAACCTTTCCCCGTTCCCTATTTTGTGGCATGCCGTTAAACAGTCCTCAGAACAAGGAAGATTATGAAAAAGGGAATTGCAGTGCACTTCTCTTTCTGTACAGCTGATGAGGGTGCATGATCATTCAGTTGTACTGTTGTGGCTTGTATCTCAACAGATACAGTTGTGCTTGGCAGGGTTAAATTGTTATCATTATTTAATATATTATCAAAGCTCACGATAACCGTGGAATCATACAAGTTAGTTTCCTGCATTTCATTGGAATTCATTTGATTGTCTATTTCATTCCCAAAAGTATTAAACTCTAAATGAATCATTCCATCTGCAGAATTTTCATCAATCATTACAGAGTCCTCTGTGCTTGCATGTAGAATGCTGCTTGTATTAACCGGGGCTGCAGTTAAATCCTCTGGGTATTGTACATTTTTGTACCGCTTAGGCTCTTGCACTTCTAACAAAAGCGAATGGCTTGTAGTAAACAGTGGAATGTTGTCAGTTGTGACTTCACTTTGTGCTTCATATTCAGTTGAAAATTGCTTGGTAAATTTATATCTTTCCTTGGCACATGGAGAACCTATTACATTATTGTTTTCTTCCACCCATGTCATAACATAGTTCATATCTTGCATGTCTTTGCAGGACCATGGGTTGTTGTACAGGGTGATCTCTATTAAATGCGTCAGGTGGTCTAAAGCATTGGTTGGTATATAGGTGAATCTATTGTTGTGCAGATACAGTTTCTGAAGCTTTGGCATTCTCATCAGTGTTCCTGGCAATATCTGTATTAAAGAATTATTGGATAAATCTATTGTTAGTATATTACTTGGCATATTGGTCGGTACAGTCCAAAGCTGGTTGTAGCTTAGATTCAGAAGCTGCAGACTAATCAGTGTATTGTTAATAAACACTGTCCTCTGCAGGCTGTTTTTGGAGATATCAAGCACTTTTAGGTTCCACTGGTATGCAGTATCCAATTTATGAAGCACTTTGATGCTGTTGTTTGAAGCATATAATGCCCAAAGAGACCTTGGCAAATGGGAAGGGAGGTGGTTAAGCAAGTTGTGGGACAGGTCAATAAATCTCAGGTTAGTAAACCTAGTCAATTGATGGTCTATATTAGATAGCTGGTTGAAAGACAAGTTCAGATGTATGATATTGTCCTGGAGTCCATGTGGCAATGCAGTCAGGCTGCTTGCTGAACAGTCAACATTTCTGTTTTTCATGATGCAAGTACACTTCAAGGGGCAGAGACAGAAGATGTTTGGTACAGAACATAAAAGAATCAGGAGTCCTGGTGAGGGCTTGATTTGGTAATCCATGCTTACCTGCAATCAAATTTTCAGTAGACACCTTCAATATCGGCACACATACATTTAAAAAAAAATCAAACTACAGTGATCTCCAAAGAGTTTGTTTAGCTTCATTAATTACAAAAAGAAACAATATATATTTACATTTGTTCAAATTGTATAGATTTGCCTTGAATTGTAATATGTATACATTCAAAAAAGTTATATCTAAAACACGTTAGCTTTTACACTTTCTTTCCCAGTCCTTCAGGTACTCGGTAAATGAGATCAGCATTCGACTTCTTTTTTTTTGCTGCACTTCATGTTCGGAATGTTATCTCCATGAGGCACTGGCTTCTAATGTTACTGCAGCAAATAGTACATTAGTGACATGAATAGATCATTGCATGACCTTTAATGTGTTAAGTCATAAATAAAACTTACCACTTAGTCTTCCCATTCAGAATCAATACATAGCTAATGCGGATGGTGCGATCAGCTGAAGGGCATTAATCCAGCTCTTGCTTAAGGACGCTTGATGCTGGTAGTTGTGCTTGTGCCTTTCAGCTGCATTGTGCTGCTGTGAGCTGGAGCTCTGCATCCATCTGATCAGCTATTCAGAGGACTGCAGAGCAGATTCTAGTGCTGACTCAAATTTATTGAGAACATTGCATAGCCAATCCGGCAGACAGTCTGATCTCTAAACTGGGAGAGAGCACTGGGACAAAAGATTTCCATGTCTATTATTATTTAAACTCAGTGCTTCTGAGTTTAAATAACACTATGAATAGCCAAAATAATTTGATAAGAAGAATCATTTACTTTCCTGCACCAGTTATAAAGATATGCTACTTAAAGCATGATTTAGGAATGTTGATTGATAGACATCATTTTACAGCAGTATAAATCTCATGTCGAGATGTAAATTGAACTTGAGACACTGCATATTTCAGATATGTACATGGAATGGACCATTATGAGAATCCAATTTTGTCTACCAGCTATGATGACTAAGCATACTATCCATGAGCTGAGACCCACCCTTACCCCTTTCACTCAGACTTTCTTAGAAATTCTACCTGATCAGGTGCTTGGTCTACTGTTCACTTTTGTGGGAGGGAAATAGCGCAGGAAAGTGTATTTCAATTGAGTTATGTGCTTGATTCCTGGCTATCTTTTACTTTTTATATTACGTAAAGATGGTGTGGCTAAATTATCTTCTACTTTATTAACTTTGATTCCGACGACCTGTTGTATGCATTTTTCCCCCCAAAGTATTCTTATGCTACTAGTGCATATATAGTATTCAGGTAATGATGTTATGTCCTCAGATCAATGGGTGGCTGGAGTAGAAGCAGAGACTGGAAGGGAATGTGTATTTTTAAATGTATTTATATGTATTTATATGCACATATATTGAGTTATTACTGTTTGTGATTGAAATCTTTGTGGAATTCACATGCTTGAGTATGCTGGGTATATATGTTTACTATATGATACTGCCTAACTACTTAGGCCCCATTCACACCAGTGCAGCAGCAGTTCAGCGTGGTCTCTGCGCAATTTTTGAAACTGCATTTTTGAGCGTTTTTAATTGCGTTTCAGCGCTGAAATACAATTAAAAACGCCCCAAAACTTCTACACTGATCAGTGTGTTTTCATTGAAATCTATATGGAAACCGTGCTGATCAGTGCAACAAAAGTAGCACAGGGAGCATTTTGGGCGGCAGGCGTTTCAAATCGCACGGATCCTCACGCTTGCATGAATGGTCCCCATAAGAATGTATGGGATTGTTCATTTAGGTGGTTCAGCGTGGAAAGATCCGCACAACCAAAATACTCTGGTGTGAACGGGGCCTTGAAGGCACTGTCTTTTGTCCACTCAGATCAAAATGACACATCTGTCACTTACTGTGGAGATAATATATTTCCAGATTTAGAAAATTGTAAATAGTGTGCCTTGTACACAGACCGATGTGTAACACAGAAACGTTGAGTGAATATGAATAAGAGATTATAAGTGAATGTTTTCTGTTATTTTATACATATTTCTGTACACTTACTGAACTGGTTTGTTGTGACAAAATAAATAAAAGCATGTGCTGGTACTTCCGTTAAAGAATTTCACTAGAGGTCCGCTGGAGGTGGTGGTAAAAGCTGGTGCTCAAGATCGCATGTACGATTAACAGAATCCGTCATACTAATCGCATTTGCTTGGTATAATGACATCTGGTGAAAGTGTTCATCACTTGGTGGAACTTCTGTTAATGGCAAGGGTTGCATATTCCTTTCTTTTGTGACCAGGAGCTCCTCAATCTGTGGAGGCATTGGAAAATGTAGAAAGTCATCTGGTGGAGGTGGTAGGGAGGTCTCATTATTTAAAGAGTGGCCTTGAGGATGCTGTTTAGATTGTTGTCCTTCAAATGCATCTGATGAAAAGCAAGTTGTTTCACGTGATATGTATGGCAGAGTTGGCATGTTTGTTTTACTGTCTTCTTCTTGCGTACTTCCATCTTCAGAATGTTCTTGACTCATGCTTTCATTAACATGACCTTTATGTGGCGCCTGTACGTCATTGAGTACTATTGGGGCTGTACTTATACTTGAGAGTGACCTGTGTCTACCTAGGATACATTCATTTATTTTAATATCTTCATGGATGTTTCCATCTGCCAATGGGGATGGTCCTGCCCAATTCTGGTCGGCGGTATCCTCCTTTTTAAAATACTTCCTTATCGCAATGCCAGCTATTGCTAGTAACATCAGTATTAAAAGAATTCCAATAATAAGTGCTGCCAGCCAGAGGTATTTTTCAGATTCCTCCCCTTCTGATACTACTTTATCCATAATTTGTAAATTATTTTACCTAGGAATTAAAAGTAAGGTAATTTGTCAGTTAAAAAAAATATATAGCTTACGGTTCTCCAGCACAAATCTTGCACAATACTTTTCTACGACATACTTTTGATATGTGAATAGACTCTTAAGCTGGCCATACACAATGTATTTTGGGTGGTTCTTAATAAACCTACTGAAATTCCTTCAGTGGTTGGCCCTGCCTGCCACTTCTTAACTTAGACTGAAATATCAAAGCAGCCTGGTGCAAAAATTGTCGGCACAACAAAAAAAATGGATAGGTGTGTGGCTAGCTCTATGTACTCCTGTGACCCAAAGCCAGCATATAGCAGCCAGCATATAGCAGCCTGCTATATGTTGACAGCGCAGAGCGGTGCTGCAGCCATGAAGGAATCCGACCATATTGTCAGGACCCAACCCCTGACTGATTGACAGCTAGCTTTGCCTCTGGCCACCACCTCCCCTGTCTGTCCCTCCAGTGAGCACTGGAGGGACAGAGGGGAATTTCTGTAAGGAGCATTTACTGACAGTCAAGGCTCTGCAGGGAAGAAGGCCGGGAGCCGATCGATCAGCGTTTCCTGTTCGCTCAGCTCTTGATCTATGTGACAGCTACAGTGTCCCATTCCGACTCTAAGTATTGGGAAGAGTATATTTTGGAGAGATAAATATATACCACTCGAGGCTGTTTAAACTTCATTCACAGCACTGTTTTCTACCCTCACATGGAGATGCTTTGTATTAGACAAACTCCACCACCATTAGCTTCTGCTTTTCCTGGCAGTAATAGAAATTGGATATATTGTGCACCCTCTGTCATTTACACCGTCCCTCTTCTTTTTTTCTTCAGAAGATTCAAATGACTGATATTTTGCTGAGCTCACTTGCTCTCTACTTATTTATTATTATTATTATTATTTTTAAATAGTTGCATAACTGTGATTGCAAAGAGAGCCAGTGAATTATTGGGCAGTAATTCTGAATGTCCATAGTTACATATGTCAGCCCTCAGCTCTGACTGCTTCTATCTTGTCTTTATCCTGATAGCACGTACTAAACCTGAACAGGGTGGCTTGTGCTTATAAGTATCACATAAGAGATGTGTTAAGTTTGAGGTACAAGCTTCTGCTATTTGATACGATTTTACTCAGTATGCCTAGTGCAGGTACCAGGTGTTAGTCTAACCCCTGTGAAGTAGCCCCCTACCCATACATGGAAAATAGCTAACTTGAACCTACTAAAAACCTTTAATAATAAGGAAAAGTATACTTACCACAGACCATGGGAAGCTTGAGTAATATCACTGGTGCAAAAAGTGTGTTTTCTCTGTTTTTGTTTTGTTTGTTTTTTTGTTGGCCATTATGAATCGGGTTTGGGGGATTTATAGATGGGGACCGATGATTTTTTTTTAATGCAAGGTCCACTGTAAAGTGTATTTCCACTTTTGCAGTTAAGTTTGAGAAAACTCCCTTTTATGTTTGTGTTCTCATTCCCACAGCATAAAAATAATTTTAAAATGTATATATATTTCTTACCTTTTTAGATGTTTTGTTGCAGCATGCAAAATGGCTGAATCCAGGTTTTTCTGAGCACCCTCACTGTGATCCGTCCATATAGAAAGACTTAGGACTGACATTAGTGGATTGTTTCCTCATTAACACTCAATGCAGAAGCAAGACTGTTAATCCTTTTAACCCTTTGTTAGGACAGGCAGTGTTTACATATATACTACTAATTATAATGAACAAACCCCTGACCCCTCACAGTCCCTCCCTCCTAACTTTCCAAAGAAGCAAGTAGAAATTTTAACCATTAAAAAGATAGGAAACCCCAACCCAAGTTAAAGCAATTTAAACTGCAAGAAGCATTTTTAAAATATTTTTTGAGCTTATGCTGTGTGAATGGAAACATGTAACAAATATAAAAGAGGTGTTATCCCAATTTGGCTGGAAAAGTGGAAATATACTTTAAAGTGATACTGAAGGAGTTAAATCTTAAAAATGTATTCAAGTACCCTAACTAACAAAAATGTATCTTATTTGTGTATCACTGGGCTGTAGATCCTCAAATCATTTCTGAATTGGTGCTGACACTGTCCTTCCTTCTGGAGGGTGGCTACTTTAGTTCCCCATGGTCCCTGTGTGTGTTGTAAAGTAGCCACCGCTCCAAGCTTACTCCTGTGATGGGCTACAGTCTGGGATTGTAGACCATCGCAGGAGCGAGCTTGGTGCGGTGACTACTTTACAACACAGGGACCATGGGGAACAAAAGTAGCCACCGGAAGGAAGGACAGTGTCGGCATGAATTCAGAGATGATTTGAGTGATACACAAATATTACAACAACAAAATGTTGCCCAGCACACTCCCCAGCCAGTCTGCACATAAACCACTAACTACTACAGTTAAAAACAGAGGTCTTAGTTGCCCGTCTTCTGCAGAATGTGGAAGCCACACTGCGTCATTAAGGCCCCTCTGTGTAGTGTGCTCCTAACTGATACCCAAATGAGATACATTTTTGTTGTAAAGGTACTTGGAACACATTTTTAAGATTCAACCCCTAAGTTTAGTGTCACTTTAAGCTCTAACCCTGGATGATTTGTTATAAGACAGTTTGTACATTATTGCCCATTCTGTTTTGTGACCACACTGTACAGAAATGCATTTTAACTTTATAATCTTCTGGAAACTAGTTTGTCATTGTTATCACAAACCTGTTTTTACTTTGTGGGTAACATTTCCAGTAAGAGCTATTGTAATACTTTTACATAGGTTAGTTAAGTATATTTGGTGACATCCTTTTATCTGCAACTTTAATGTGAAAACCCAAAATTAATTTCCTATAAAATGCAGGAGTTGGACACGCTCGCCTTTAAATTTTGTTCTTATGTGTCCCTGTTGTGATTACTGTAATGTGCATTTCTTTTCTAGAAAGTATGTTCCTGCACTCACTTTTGGACAATTGCCCTTTATATTCAATAATACTTGCAGTCAATGCTAACTAAAGTGTCTTTGTTCATTCTTTCCTCATAAAACTTTTCGATGGCATACCCATATCTCTTATCTGTATGTAGTGAGATTTATTTTTCGTACTGTCAGTCACTCCAGTGGAGTCCCCTGAATTAAATTAATAATGCTACTGAGATACTTAACGGTTTGAAGTAAAAGTGTACTTACCAGTTTTTTTAGATGATTTACAGAGGTATTCTGCTGTGAGTTTGTCAAAAGAAGTGAAATTGAGAAGACTGTTGTTGTGAAGTGCAGTTGTAAAGACTTTATATGGTGAGTCACATCAAAAGGAAGTTCAAGATAGTTTCAGGAAGTGTGTAAAATGTATGTTAAAACATTTTGCAATATCTTTTACTGGAAGTATGCTGCTGATAAGAGTTAAAGCAAAGATGATGATACCTAATGGTGAAGCCCATAGTAACCTCTTCAGTATTATCATGCACCTATTCATAATTGTGCCCAGTGTATAAATGTAAATCACCAGGAATGGACATTTTACAGGTGACCTGAACAGTAGTATTTTTGTACAGTTTCTTTATTGTGGTCATAAATCCATTAAAATCATTTTTGATTAGATGAATCTAAAATATTGCTTAGCAATATTTGTTTTTTTGTTCAGGCAGTAGTTGGAATTTGTTTCTTTTTTTACATATGTTCTAGAGACGGCTTAAAAGTACATATGTGTTCGCCATTGTAGCAAAATTCCCCCTTGCCGAGCACACTCAATACGTAGAGCTGGGTTCCCCTCCCTGCATGTCAGTACTTGACTCCTGCAATGACTGAGGCATGGATGGTAAAAATCTAGCACCAGACCATTCACGCCTACACACTAACCTCCCATAGACTTGAAGAGAACAATGCTCCTGCTATATACAGGTATTTCCCATTTAAGTTTGAGAGAAGTTAGGCAGCCTGGCGTTAGAATTTTAGCGACCATGCTGCAGACATTGCAGAAGTCTTTTAACAGTCTGTTGTGTAAAGCCTGTAGTTTTCAGAGCTGTGCATCTCAAGCTAAATGGGAGACTGGACAGTTTGAAGACTAACATTGTGGTGTTCGACCTAGAAATAATTTTTCTGCCAGATCAGAATAAATAGCTGGGTGAGCCAGTAAAAAGTGGTTTCTTTACTAGGTTTGAACAGTTTTTGCTTTTTTATTTGACATAAAGCTAAATTCCCCTTGAAAACTGACAGATCAATCCCCGCCCTTCCTTTTTTTTTTCTTGTATCTCATATGTTGCGTGAACAGACCACTTGTGCCTGACCAAATTGATATTATACCTGTTCTGTACAAATATATTTATGACCCATTCAGCTTGGTGAATGTAAGTGTAAGGGAATTATTGTTACGTTTCAATTTAGGGCAGTTCATGTAAACAAGCTTGACTTATGTGACGTGATGATGTCGATGTCTGCAGCCTGGAATCCTGTTTGCCCTCTGCTCTCCTAGAGTCTGTCTCCTCATCCGAGTCCTCTTCAGCTATGGCGGGTGTGGCTGGTTCCTCTGCCCTCTCGACTGAGGTTTTTACTACAGTCATGCAAGACTTTATAGCTTCCTAAGTGTCCTTGCGTGTCACTAATCTGACATATCAGTCTGGATGTCGCAACACTTCTTAAAACTCAATCTTTCAAAAACTGAGTTCATGATATTTCCTCCCGTCCGTGCACCTTCCCCAAACGTTTCTCTTGAGATTGTTAACACAACTATCCAGCCCTCCACCATGCCAAGGTCCTAGGTGTCATCCTTGACTCGGACCTAACCTTTCTTCCCCACATTAAATCACTATCCAAATACTGCCGCCTTCACCTTCGTAACATCTCCAAAATATGCCCCTTACTGATGAAACCACAAAATTACTCATCCACTCACTTGTTATCTCTCGTCTTGACTATTTCAACTCTCTCCTCATTGGCCTACCTCTACACAGGCTATCCCCCCTTCAGTCTATCATGAATGCAGTCATTCACCTAACCAACCGCTCAGTGTCTGCAACCCCCCTCTGTTGATCCCTACACTGGCTTCTAATAGCCCAAAGGAAAAATATTAACAACCACTTATAAAGCCATCCACAACTCTGCCCCTGGCTATATCTCAAACCTGGTCTCAAAGTATCTCCCTAACGGTCCCCTTCGCTCTTCAAAATAACTCCTGCTTTCCAGTTCCCTCATCCGGTCCTCCCATGCTCGCCTCCAGGACTTCACTAGAGTCTCTCCCATCCTATGGAACTCTCTACCCCAACCTGTCTGTCTATCTCCCACTTAAGACTCATCTCTTCAGGGAAGCCTATCCCACCTCAACCTAACCACTCAACTATCACTTTTACAAACAATTCATCCGCACACAGCTACCTCCTCATGTATCACTTGCCCCTCCCTTTTAGATTGTAAGCCCTCACGGGCAGGGCCCTCCTTACCATCTTGTCTTGAAGTATATTGTGATTGTAATGTCTTCCTTATATTGTAAAGCTCTACGCAAACTGTTGGCGCTCCTGTATAATAATAATAATGGCCCAAATCACCCAGTTATTTGCCAACTGACGGCAGAGGTCAAAAGCATGCACCTGCATCTCTTCCTATAGATTCTATATCTGATCTACCCGCAGACTTGCTGACCTCTGAGCCCTCGGTCACTGAGACTCTTGTGTTGCTCCAGTCTTTGCCTTAAGAGCTTGGCCCTGAGAAGTTGCAGTTAGGAGACCATTTTGGCTTTTTTTAATGTGGTGCACATCATTTTGAAACTTAGCCTGTTTCTTCTTCCGGAGCTGTTTCCAATCTTGTGTCCTTTAGAGCCCCTAAGGGTGCAAAAATGTTCTCATTCTATGGCTGACTGGATAAAATCCCTTTAACGGTATAATACCACTGCTGCTGTTGATCATTTGTTTTTAGATCACATGGAGCAAATGGCTGTAGCTTTAACTTCAGTTGTTAGTTTACTGGAGATCTCCCTTACCTTTTGCACCATTTGAACCCATTGCAAAATTTAATTTGCAAGGTTGTTTCTTGTAGCCATCACCTCTGCAAGGTGAGTAGTTCAACTGGTGGCCCTATCCTGCAAGGAACCTTTTATGGTGGAACAAGGTGGTGTTGAGGCCCAGGGCTTGATTTTTATCTTGCACTTAAACCACGGTATGGTTCTTATGTCCCTCCATCTTGCTCCAGTTCACTAAAATAAAAATTTGCTCCTATGCCCAGATGTGGTTTGGGCTTTGAGTCGCTCCTCCTTTCAGAGAGACTGATTGAAAAAAAAAATTGTATTTTTGTTCTCACTGTAAAAAACTTTTCTTGGTGTCCATTAATGCCTCATGCACACACACGCAAGAGCAAAATTGTATATTGCGTGTATGAGTGTATGTACGCACGTCTATATGCGTGCACTATATACAGTCCCAGAATAGCGTAAAGATTCGCTGTTTTTGCGCATCTTTACGCTACGCAGATATACGGCTCCATGCGCAGCTATGTGTATGGATCCATTTGCATATGGGTCAATATGCGCGTACGCACATATACGCAGCGTATTGTACGGCAGTGTGAATGAGGCCTAAGATACAAGCCCCACACCGCAGAGTTTATGATCATGTGCTCAGTACGGCTTTGCTACAAAATGGAGGCATACAGATAGGGGTTATCCTGGGTTGACCCACAGGTTTTTTTGGGCAGTATAGACTAAAGGGGAAAGATGTCTCCCTTAATGGACAGAAAGAAAATAACTTTACGATGAGTACAAAAATCCTCTTACTCGGGGTACAAATCACTGAAGAATTAATGCTGATACACTGGAGACTGGTCAGTGAGGATTAGTGTGCATAATAGGGTTATTGCACATACATTGGAGACACTGAAGTGTAATACATGTAAGCTGAAGACTGCTAACTAAGGATTAATGTGTATATAATCACATTTTAATTCTTGGACATGTATATGTTATATTTTCTCAGAAAGGTGTTTTATAGTCTTACATTTGCTAGTTTAAAGTTGTGCTTTAGGGCTTGTTCACACCAAATGCAGACCAGATCTGCATGAGTTTCTGCACACGCAGTGCAGTGTGTTTTGCCACGTTTTTGATGCGTTACGGGCCGTTTTTGTACAAAAAGGGCTTTCAGGGCGTTTGCATGTGTTCCAGAGCAGAAAAAAATAGGGCATGCTGCAGTTTTTTTACATGCTCTGGAACTGAACGCTGCGGTGGGAACTAGAGCCCAAAATGCCATTGTAATACACTGGACACAGTTTTTTGATCCGGTTTGTAACTGCTCTGCTCCTGGAACGCGCTTGCTGTGAACTAGCCCTAACAGAATTGTTCTTAAAATTGCTGCTTGCATTGTCAATACTTTATAGGCATGTATCCTGTCTTCTAAAGTGGAGTGCAGTACAAAACAGGAGCAGTGACAGATTTCATGATAGAGCAGTGGTTCTTAACCTTTCTAGGGCCAGGACCCCTTGGTAACATTTGCCAAGTTGTGGTGACCCCCAACAGAGTGCTGGACTCCAGAATTAGTAAGGCCCTGGACTTGGGACTAAAAATAGAAGCACACTCACAAGAATACAAGCCCTCCCCAGCCCCTGCTACCTGCTTGCCTGCTCTGTCTCCATGCAGCCTTCTCAGCCCCAGCACTGCTTAGACGCCCGCCTCCTGCAGAGCTCACATTGTATAGGAGGCAGGAGGACAGCAGTGGCTGTGAATAGAAAAGCCCTGCTGTACAAACTGCCCGGCCACTAGATGTCGCTGCAGCGGCCAGGGAGTGTGTATAGCGGCACTTTTATATTCACAGCCTCTGCTGACTGACACTGGCTAAGAGGAGGCTGAGGAGCCTCTCACCTAGCGCAGCAGACTTGGATGCTGCGACCCCCTCAACAGTGAGTTGCGACCCACTTTTGGGTCGTGACCCACAGGTTGAGAACCGCTGTGATAGAGGTTTACTATAAGAAAGTAGCTTAATTCATAATCGTGCATACATGCATGAATTACTTGAATTAATTAATTTGAAGACCATGACTTTTAATAGCCGAAAACAAAATGAATTAAACTAAATATTTGGCACTATCATGTAACTCATTGTCATTTTCTATATTTAAATTTATTTTAAAAAGCTTGTGATTTTACCAAGCCAATAATAAAATATACAGTTTTCTACACAATCAATAGATTGCAATATAAGAAACAATATGAATGTACCTAATTTGTGGTAGTCTTCAAGCTATAGTAAGATTAAAAAAAAAAAAAAGATGTAGAGATTTGCTTGTAATTCAGACTTTTCTCTTCAGACATGGGCTAGACATCTTTGAACACTATTACAGTAAAAACACTGAAGACAAAATATTACCAGTGGAGACTGGTCATAATTTTACAGTAAAATAAAAGTATACGTTTTATTCAATATTGTAAATATCCTTTAGACCTCTACTGTGGATACGATCGTCATAGTTTCATCATTTGTTGAAGTTGTTTTTTTATCCTCAGTGGGTTCTTTTAATTTGTCTAGTGTTGGCACTGTCATAAGCTTGTGCTTCTCATCAGTGATGATTGTCTCTCCCAAAGAAATTTCATCCATGGTTTGATTGGCTGACTTCTTTTGCCATGTCTCCATTCCAGATGACCACAAAATGCTTGATGCATTTAAAAAGTCCCCATTACTTCTTGCATGACGCTTTGATTGTGTTAGCTTGATTTTAAGGCTCGACACTTTATTTGCCAGTGCCACAGAGCATATTATCAGCGCTGCACAAATCAGCACTAACACCGCTATTATAATGGCACATATCATTATTCCTGTTTTATATCTATCATCTTTACAGACGCATGGTGTGCCGGGAGGTAGGTTTGTTGAATAGTTCCCAACATATCGACTCGTAAACCAGAATGGCTTCTTTATTGTGGTGTATGGTGCCATATTTGTCTTTTTTGTAGATTCAGGTGAAATCTTTTGCCTGTTTGTTGTCTTTGTAGATTCAGGTGCAATCTTTAAAATGACTGTTGTCATCATTGTGGATTCTGGTGTGTATAAACCCTGGTTTACTGACTGACTTTCAGTGGTAAATGGTGAAGTAATATTAGTATTATTAGGCCAGTTTATGCCCCAGATGTTGGATGTTCTGTTTACATCTGTTAAAATAGTCTTATTTTGGAAACCAGTAAGATATGTTTGGTTTACTTCTGCTTTACAACCGAAGGAAAGCAGCAGTATTGCAAGATGGAGATGGAACGGCATTCTCTTCAAAGTTACAGTTGGTTAGCTGTGGGGAAAAACCTTGCATTGTTAACGCTGCTTTTGCAGATAGTGAAACATGCATGTATATTTATAACAACCAAATTGTCCATCTTACTATATAAGGTATATGAAGTAGTAACTCCAGTAAGTTCTAGATTTCAGTTTACTAAGGGCCACCTAGCTGCGTGAGTGACAGCTGGCTCTGCCTATCTAGAGGCAAAGCCAGCTGTGCCCGCCCCCCTCCCCCGTCCGATAAGCCAGTCAGCTCTGGAGGATCGGACAGGGGAGGGGGGGGGAATCCCTGCAGGTAGCCATGAGTGACAGTCACGGCTCTCTGCAGGGATAGATTGAGAAGTGAGCGAGCGACGGTATGTGTTCGCTCACTTCCCGATCTACTGAGCCGACCTGTGACGGTTTTATTGTCACAGGTCGGCTCAGATTATGACACTGAGTGAAAATCACTCGGCTCATAATTCTCCTTTAAAATGATGCATGTTTAGATGTGTCTGTCCCTTGTTTATTGATAGTCTTTTGGAGTAGCCAGTGAGATTTCTGCAAATAAATGCGTCATATTTACATGTTTTGGTGCGTTTAGAAGCTCAAATCAATTCCTGGACGCACCTGGCTTCTATTTTATCTAAACCCAGCTAAAACTGAGTGCAGATAAAAGCATCTAAACGCAAGGTGTGAAAAGATCCATTGGAAACCATTCGATGCAAATACATGTGGTTTAGAAAACCATTTTAAGAGTACTATGACCAAACCTTTTTTGGCCGCAATTCTCTTCAGGGTCACAGGCGGACATTTACTAATGTCCTCCTGTGACCCAAAACTCAGCAAATAGCAGGCTATTGCCTACTATATGCTGACAGCGCAGAACCATGCTGCAGCTGGGAAAGGCCTGACGATATTGTAGCGATCAGCCCGGCTACCTTATTGACAGCTGGCTCTGCCTCTCTAGAGCCAGCTGTGCCTGCCTTCCTGTCCCTCTAGTCAGTGATGGAGGGACGGAGAGGGGAGGGAGCGGTGACTGTCAGGGAGAAGATCATGAACGGAGCGACCAGCAGTATACCTTGCTCAGTTCTCAAGCAGAGCCGAAGTGTGACAGATTCAGTGTCGCATGTCGGCTCTAACTATGGGGATAAGTGTATTTGCAAGTGAGCAGATATGAAACTTTTATTGCAGAGAGAGATAGTATGCTTGCTAGCATTTTTTTAAAGATAAAATTCTGCTTTAACCTCTTGCCGTCCGCCCGTTAAGAAAAAACGGACGGACGGCAGACTCGCATCAGCGGGTTGCCGTCGCCTGGGAAATTTTGTCGAGCCAAAACTTTGTTTTTTCTAGTTCTGTATAGAGTGGGAAGGATTTAAACAATTGTTGTTTTTTTTTACTGCTGTCTGGGTGCCTGTTAGAGAGAGTTCCCCTAACTTACTGTCCTGCTGACATGTTACCGGACAGCAAGTAAGTGAAAATATCAAACCGCAACTCAGACAGAAATAACAATGGTTTGTTTTTATCAGTGTAGGGGAAAACTAGAACCCCTGCCATAGCAACCAGTCAGGCTCAGGCATACAAAGTCATTGAGACTTGTGCGCAAGCTAGGCTTTGCAGCAAATGTTTTTCAAATTGGTCACATTCACAGACATTTGTTGTATGGTGACGCACACTTTTTCAAGCAGTGCCTGTGCAACACTTTATTATTTCCAGGGAATATTGTTTGTTTTACAGCACTTTTATTCCTATCCTTTATGGAAATTAAGCAAAGCTGGCTTTTGGAGTTTATCCATATTGGAGATCAGTTTTTGAGGACTTCACGTCTAAATTCATTGCACTGCCCTTAGAATTTTTTTCTGGTCTACATACTCATTGTGGGAGGAAATTCTTGGTGACCGTATGTCTGTGTCATTTTTACCAAAAGTGGTAGTATTCCTTTTCGTTTCTTGTTTTAAGATGATATATTCCATACCTGTTTTTTTTTTTTTTCTGGACTCTTCTCCCTATTTTGTTTAATTCAGTTGGTGATTGCTTAAAAGCTGAAATGTAAAGGAATATTCAGGCTGAGAACTGCTGTGTTAAGACAGGCAGTGGATCATAGGTCACCAGAAGTCTGATGCAACAAACCTGTCAACTGCCTGACCTCAATCACTCAGTCCTGCAAATGCCAACCTACAGTGTAGCAAGCAAAGGCAACAAACTATCTCTGCAATGATAGCTACAGTGTAGGGCTTAGACAAAGTAAGCCCAAATATGGAGTGAAATAAAGCTCTTTCTTACGGACACCCACACATTTATAACACTTAGAGAACCTTTTGCAGGAATTTGAACATTCAAGCATTACATCTGGTGAATAATTAGAGAATAGAATTAGTACTAATAATTGTGTATGAACTTACCTTAAGTCCTTGTTTAAATCCAGTTAAGGTTCCCTGGTTTCATTTGTTAGACTGCCCTTCTGATTGAAATCTTTTTGTACGCCAAAGAGCAGAAGATTTGTCTTTTTTTTTTCTTCTTTAGTGAAGTTTCCTCAGTGCAAAACCACAGATGACAGACTTCCTGTTCTGTGTTTGCTCATGCTTAGCTTTACTCTAGCATCAAAAAGGGAACCTGCCCATAGCTTTGGGCTGTATGTAATGCTAGCATTAATGCTGCAAACTTCAACAAAACAAGTGTAAAAAGTGATCAGTGGTTTCATCTTTTTGTAGCTGGGGGTGACTAATTTGTAAGGAGTGTTTTATGTGTCGCTGCTGAGTCAGGAAAGCAAGGCACAAGGGGCAATAGTAAACTTGTACTAACTGACAAACAATCTGCTTAGTGATAAGACATCCTGTGAGTGTTTTGCAAAAGCACATCCGTGATGGCAGTTGAAAATAGGAATTTACCTTGCCCTAGTGTCCAGTAGTGTTTGCTGCCTTCTCTGATTTTCTTTTTTTCTTCTCGTCTGGCTGCCGTGCCACTTTGGATATCAACGTGTTTGTATGTATATAGACACGATTGTCTGTTATACCTGAGGATAGTAGACACCACTTAGCAGTTTGAAATGTATTTATTTCACTGTCGGGCCCTGCTCTGCATTTTTTACCTCGGGTGGCCAGACCATTTTTGCAGCTTCTCACATTTGATAATTTTTCACTTACAGCTTTCAGAGTTTGCATCAGAGAGCATGCATTTTCTGACTTAAAAGAGCCAATAGAATAAAAAGATGGTGCTGCCGGTTTTGTACGTCCCTTCTTTGATTAAAAAATACACTACAATAATTTTTGGTGCACACAAACACATAACTTATAAAATTACTACAAAATCTAAAGCATAAAATGTTAAACGGAGACAAAAACAAATATCTGTAAATTGTGTCTTTTTGTGAAGTGGTGGAAACTGCATATCTGTAAGTTACACTTAAAACCTGGATATTTCCTTCACACTTATGTGGTGTGGTAATGCACAATCTGCAGTACTGTTAGCTTTGAATGACACCCTAACGCACATTGCCTGTGCACCTAAACGCATATGCTTTAATGCTCATCATATTGTATACATGGGAAACACCTGTGCACTGTGGTGTGCTGCACTGAAAAAAAAAAGTAATGTGTAGTGGGGCATTGGGAGCCAAGGACTGTTACCAGGGGATGCAAAGGCCCCTGATTTACATAAAACACCAATTGTGACAGGTCTGAAATATTAGACTGTGTTGTTTCCCCTTATGTGGTAGAGGAAAAATCAGGGGCACAGTGTCCTCTATCTCCTACTTCCCTGCTGCTCAGAACTTACTAACTCTGAACATGAGTGCTCAACACTGAACACGTCACTTTCACATACTATAAGAAATCGGTAAACATGCCCTCATGTTTACAGATCTCCTTCAGTTTGTGAATGAACACATTAGTTCTCTGTGTACTGGGCTCCTCCGTGTTCATTCACAAACTGAAGGAGAACAGTAAACCGAGTCAAGTATACCGACCTCTCCACTTGCCTCCCTGAAGAGAAAAAACAGCTAAGAAGCCTGGGTACTGGTCTCATTGCTGGTAAGGGCTGGCTGGAATCGAATGGCGAGGAGTGACAACCTAGTGCTATGGAGGGGGTCACTGCAGGGCTGATGGTGGGTGGCTTTACCATTCTATTACCTTACATAAGTCGTCTCAATAATGCGATATCAGCATTACAGCATAATGCATATACAATCAGCAGACTTCGTAGAAAATATTTTGTAGTTAATGTATGGGGGTTCAAAAATTGCAAAAATGTTGTGTTTGGAAAAATTAACAGGAACATGCATTTGTTTCACATCTTTTACCATAAAACTGAGGAAATAAAAATATACAGTATGTAACAAATTTTGCTAGCAAAATAAAGCGTGATCTGTCCTGAAAAAATATGTACAATGCATAGGGGGTAGACTACAGAACCTAAAAGCTATAATGGGTGTAAACAAGACATTGCTAAAATGAAGAAAAATCAATCTGGGTTATTAAGGGAGAAGGCGGCCCAGAGACTCAAGTGGTCATAAAAAGTTCTGGCTTAGCACTTTAAAACATGTTTTAGTACTTTTGAACTTAATTTCCTTAAAGCCGATCTGCTCCCAAGGACAGGAAATATTAGAGCCTTTGTCAGGCCTTTTATTGTCATCTGTGTCCCTAATAATGTGATTTCACCGCACTTCTGAAAGAACAAGGAGTCATGGAAAGTTTGTTCTACATGGATACAGACAACACAAACACATTTGGTACATTAAAGGAGGTTACAATTTCTGAATTTTCTTCAATTGTTTTACATTGTCTGTACCTTCCTGTCTTGGTGATGTCTGCACACACCCTATTTATTGTACCAGCAACACAGGGGGAGGAAATGAAGGATAAGCTTTCAATATGGTCACAATCAGAAGTAAAAGCTGGGCGGAAATGATAAATTTTCCCCACTTTATCCAAAACGAGAAAAAAAAAAATGGTTGGAGTTGGGCTATAAATCTTTTTAGTGATTCCAATATAAAATTATGCCTTTTTTTTTTTTTTTTTTCAATCCCTTGCAGGTTCAAGACTGGTCAAATAAATGGCGACTTATTGATCTACCATGTTCTTCTGACTTTAAAGCCATACTATGCCAAGCCATACGAGATAGTGGTAGATCTTACTCATGCTGGGCCCAGCAATCGCTTTAAAACCGACTTCCTTTCAAAATGGTTTGTGGTTTTCCCTGGCTTTGCATATGAAAATGTGACAGCAGTTTATATCTACAACTGTAACTCCTGGGTGAGGGAGTATACAAAATACCATGAGAGACTGCTAACTGGTCTGAAAGGTAGCAAGAGGTTAATTTTCATTGATCCATCTGGAAAGTTAGCCGAACACATCGACCATGATCAGCAGAAACTGCCAGTTGCCACTCTTGCTTTGGAGGAGGACCTGAAGCTGTTCCATAATGCACTCAAGCTGGCCCACAAGGACACTAAAGTGTCAATAAAAGTAAGTGGAAATTAATATGTATACATATGAAAGTGCAAAAAAAAATAATGTGCCCATCAGGGTGTGCTAACATAAATGTCTTAATAGAAGAGAAAATGGGATGTGTAAACACAAGCACCTACCTATGTATCAACCATAATAACATTACCTGTACTATATCGAACAGTGTGCATATTACATTGAACTCTTCTTCACTTTGCATGCTTATGGATTAATATTACATTTATCATTAGATCAAAAGGATGCTTGAAAACCATTTTTCCATATCATAGGTTAAATTACCAAATAGGAGTTGTATCTCATTTTCTTGTAAACCTTTTGATAAGTTTCTTCATTCAACAAATATCAAATCCCACAGTGACATTTTTCATAAAGCGGTCACTTATACCCGGTTTTCCTTGTGTTTATAGGTGGGTTCTACGGCTGTTCAGGTCACGTCAGCGGAGAGGACGCGGGTTTTGGGCCAATCAGTGTTTCTGAATGACATCTACTATGCTTCAGAGATAGAAGAAATTTGCTTAGTGGATGAGAATCAGTTCACATTGACTATTGCTAATCAAGGAACACCCCTCACATTCATGCACCAGGAGTGTGAAGCCATTGTCCAGTCTATCATTCACATACGGACTCGATGGGAGCTGTCCCAACCAGATTCCATCCCCCAACACACTAAGATCCGTCCAAAGGATGTTCCTGGAACACTACTTAACATTGCATTACTCAACTTGGGAAGTTCTGATCCAAGTCTACGGTAGTCATTTATCTCTCTATAGTTTTAATAATTTTTAAGACATGTTTATGCATTCATGCAAGTGGCCTCCCCTGCCTTTGCCTCGGCCCAGCCTGTGGCCCTTGATCGACCCCTAATAAAGCAACACAGCTTGGCCAAAGTCCTATGATGTTTATGGGCAGAGCCAAGCGCTAGTACTCATTCCCTTGCACGTCCCCTATGATTAGTTGGCTACAAGAGCTGCTGGGACAAGTAGCCCAGGAAAACTGCAGTGACATCAGAAACAGGAGCTGTTTTTCATTATATTTATACACTTTTTAGGGGGTTTTTTTACTATCAGTTTTTTCTTTAAAATTTCATGAGATTCTAGAGTTCATCTTGTAGGACTTTATTCAAGAGAGCAGTGGTCTAAGGTCCTATTTACCCTGTAACACTGTGTGCTGCAACAGATTGTGCACTGGTAGAAAGGAAAGATTTAAGGGTTTGATTACGTCATAACGCAGTACGCTACAACTAATGGTGTACTGGTAGAAAGGTATGATCTAAGGGTCTGTTAATACTGTAACACAGTATTCTGCAAAGGCACTCGCTTCTGTGTGAGGTCCGTTAGGCAGTCTTTTTAAAATGCATGAGCTTTCAATGCATGAAAATATACGGTAGGTATTGTCGTGTTTTTGTTTTTTTTTCACCTCAAGGCAATACAGAGCAAACGCATCTGTGCGTGTTATGCAATGTAGATGCACATTAGAGTGCAATTCACTTTACATTGTAGTATGCAGCTATGCACATCTGCAGTTCATTACTGTGTAATTAGTTTGGTAATGCATGTTTATAATGCAGGTCATGATGCTACAAGTCCTATTAGGTTGTACTTTAGGTGTATTGGTAGAAATGAATGATTTAATTGGTTGTGCTTTGGTAGTACTGCTAGAATAAATCTACAGAATGTAGACAGACAGTTCTTTTCCTAGACACTTTGGTAAGTGAGGTCATAATAATACATTTATGCTGTTGATGATGATTGCTCTATTGGTTACACATGTTAGGAGTAAGGCCCGGTTCACACCTGGGCGTTTTGTAGCGCGTTCCTACGCTCTGCAAAATTCTCAAACACCGAAATCCCATTATTTCCTATGGGTATGGTTCACACCTGGGCATATTACAGGCCGTATGAACGGGCTACAAAACGTCCTACGCCCAAAGAAGTACAGGAGCTTCTTTGGGGCGTATTTGCTGTGCGTATCCATTGAGATACAGCCAGGTAGCCCTCGGAAACGCTCGTTTGTCCCGTGTTTTTTTTACTGCGAATCGCCGTAAAAACGCGATACGCCTAGGTGTGAACCCAGCCTCACTGTTCAAAGTACAGTTGTATTTTTATTTTTTTTCTACACACCTTTGTTTTTTAAACCGATTGTGTTTGCAACTGTGTTCGAGATCTGTCGTCCAGAAAACTGTATGTAGAAAGTTCAGAAGCCATAAAAAAAAGAAATTGTTTAATAATGAATTCCAATAACTGATATAACCAGATTGATTTCAACATTACATTTTAAGCATTATTTCTAGTAACCTCCATTATGGTTATCAGATTGCAAAGCGCATGCAGTCAGTGACATGTTAAATCTGGGATGGCCAACTCTGGCCCTCCAGCTGTAAAGGAATTACAAGTCCCATGAGGCATTGCAAGACTCTTACAGCCACAGGCATGACTCCCAGAGTCAGGTACACGATGGGATTTGTAGTTTTACCACAGCTGGAGGGCCGGAGTTGCTCACCCCTGTATTAAATGTTTTTACAAACACTTTGTCACTCCAATTAGTTTGTCACGTCCATATAAGAATGGTGAATCAGGACAATGTGACTTCATAAAAAAGCAAGGTCAAAATGTGTGCAACTCTTTCAAGTCACCCCTTAATGTTTTGGGTTTTTTTTGTTTTTTACAGACCCTAAATTGCTACAATGCATATAATATTTCCCCTTCATTTTATGGTGTGTGATTAAATGAAAAACCTAGTTTTCATGTGTTGTACAGAAGATTAAACTGCGTTTACATTTTTGCTGCACATTTGGGATAGAAGCTATTTTGTATTTGTTACATGTTCTCATTCACATCAGTGCTGCTTACATATTACTTGCTCTTTCCTAAAAGGTTTTTATCTAAACTCCATTTTCCTCTGGAATGCAAGGGGGTGAGGAGTTAATCATTAACCTAATTAACCCTGTCTGTAGTGTGGTGGCATGACCTCATTAGTTGTAAACTAGATTTGAACAGTCTGTCCTAAAAAGGGTCAAAGAACAGTGGTTCTCAATCTTTCTAGGACCGAAACCCCTTAGTAACATTTGCCAAGTTGTAGTGATCTCCAGCAGAAAAATGATTTGTTATAATTATTATTAGGGATGCACCGATGCCAGTTTTTCAGTATCGATTACGAGTGTCGATATTTTATTTTTGCGACTCGCCAATAACTAATACAGATACCGGTTCTGTGTGCCTTGATTATCAAGAAGCCGGGCGGCGGATCATGACCAGCCTCCTGACTTCCTGATTGCCAAGCTGCTTAGCAACAAGTGAAGCTGGCTTCCTGGCCAAGCAGGGTGGCACTGATTGGCTAGGAAGCCGGCTCCATGCGCCTTCTGCACTGCCGATCTCCCTCTAAACGGAAGTTCCGGTATCGGAGCATTTTGGCGAGTACAAGTTCTCGCCAAAATACTTGGTATTGGTGCATCCCTAATTATTATTCTAATTGTTTAAAAAAAAACTAATTTTCTTATTTTTTATCTTATTTGTTACTTTTTTAATTTTTTGTTTAATTTTTTTCTTTTTTATTTCTTACATTTTTGAAACTTTTAACAATTTGTAATATTTATTTTAATTGCTAAACTTAACTTTATTGCTATTACACAGGCGCTAACAAACCCCTGTGTGATGGCATTTGATTTGGAAGTGACAGGTTCCCTTTACTGAACTTGTCACCTCCAATACAGGAGTTCTAGCACAGCACTGTGCTGAAACTCCTGTGACAGCGGAGATGGGTAGGCTGTGTACAGTGTTCCATCTCAGTGTTAACACGGAGCAGCTCCCCATCTTCATGGGGACGGACCATGGCGGCAGGGGATGGGGACGAAGTAGCAGGCTAAATACAAGTGATGCCGCCGCAGAGCCGCCGACATCACTTGACCAGCTCTCCCTCTGTACACTTAGTCCTGCTTACCCAAAACTGGGCTAAATGTAGAGAAAAAACTGCTCGCCTGCTGTCAGTTCCTCCCCGGCCGCTGCAGTGACATCTGGCGGGAGAACTGACACTGCTGCTCTAGGAGGAGGCTGAGGAGCCTCTCGCCTAGTGCAGCAGAAGGCATACGGCGACCCACAGGTTAAGAATCGCTGATCTAGAAGCGTTGTATGTTAAAAGTTAAGGTGGCCATACACTAGTAGATTTTTGGTTTCTGCCACAAACCCTTGTTACACTGATTCATTGGTTTTCGTTTGAAGAGAAAAAAAAATTCCAACCTGACTGATAGAAAAATTTCGATCACAATATCAAAAATGAAAATCGGTGATGTACCATCATCTGTTCAATTTTCGTTCAAAAGACAGTTTGTGTACGATTTCTGAGCGAAAATCATTCAATGTATTGCCATTTTAAGAATGCCCCTAGTCTTTCTATGGGGACAGCCAGAGTTTTTCTTTTGTCAATTTGAAATTGGTGAGAAAAGCTTGTAGACTGTACAAATGCCTGGTACACAGAGACATCTAAAAGATAAGAAATATAATTTAAAAAATATGCTGTTCAAATAGAAACACATGAACATTTTCTCAAATGTGTCTGCAAAAGTGGAAATGTACTTTGAAACACTATTGGTCTCTATTTAAATCTACTCTAGAAGTTTTAGCTTCCAAAACAGTAATACATTCAAAATGGCTGTAAATTCTATCACACTGTCATACTAGTGTGGGCATTCATATATGGAGATATGTGACTGGTTTCCTTTATAAAATGGTAGCTTCCTAGCTCTCTCTCTAGCTTTCTGTCTCAAACTTTCTAGGCCACAGCTTTGAAACAAACATGTATGTAAAGCCAGAGGAGTCAAGTTGGAACTCCTGATCGGCATACTTGTTGCAGATCATTGACTTGCACTGCTATATTTCTGCAGTTCCGAACATTTAAAGCCTTTGGATCAACAGCCAAGCTAGCATTAATTTTAATAGGAGAGTTCAGTAATGTCAGCCTGCATGTTTTCTCTGAAAAAGGTTTTTTTAAATTGTAGAGTATTCACATTGTAGAGTATTCCTTTGGACTTTTGGAGTGGGTTTTGCTTGGGGGAAAAATGCCTACAGTGTTTAAATGTATTAATAGATTTGATGTCTTACTATAAAATGGGAACTGTCATGAAAATGTCAACTTGTCTTAACCAGTTGTCTTTAAGATGGTTACTTTAAATGGATCATCTTAATGTTATGTATTTACAATATTAAGTTTGTCACCTTATCTTTTGTTGCAGGTCTGCTGCCTATAACCTCCTGTGTGCCTTAACATGTACCTTTAATTTAAAGATTGAAGGGCAGCTACTGGAGACTTCGGGTCTTTGTATCCCAGCCAACAATACACTTTTCATAGTCTCCATTAGCAAAACCCTGGCAGCTAATGAGCCACACCTCACACTTGAGTTTCTAGAGGAGTGCATTTCTGGCTTCAGCAAATCTAGTAAGTAAATTGTGCCTACGCCATTTCAATGTGACTACTTCTGCAAAATGTCACATTTGGCATTTTAATGTTTGGTATTAGATGGGAAGAGGTTTTTTTTTTTTGTTTTTTTTTAAGATAACTGCTTTAGGAAGCTCACAACCTAGTTTGTTGTTTTTTGGTAAGCAATTTGTTCACGCAGGTGAGCTTTGATTTGTCCACATTGTTGCTCTTTATCTGTGCAGTTTGTCCATGTTTGGCACAGAGTATCCTTTTTAGCCACTTCTTGAATCTCTTCAAAGGAAACATTCTGCCATTCCTAGTTTCCTGGCTCTCATGTTTGCCCCACTTTCTCTTTTACCAGGAACAAGCATGCAAATAAGGATGTCTTACTGACCATACTTTAGAGATGTGTACTTGTTTCAGCTTACTGAAACATTATTGAACCCAACTGGTCAATGGACTAGCCAGATAACTAGCATTTTCAAAAAGGATTGGCAATGGCAGCCTCCCATGTATATCTGAGAAAAGGTGCTGAGAGATTAAAATTCCCATAGTGCGTGATGTTCTACCTCCTATGTGTGAGCTGTAATATGTGATAAACCCTTCTACAGCATATGCAGAAGGCACAGCTGTTAAGAGCTTGCAACCCTACGACTTTATGCTTTGTTTTTTTCCCAAACATTTGCAATAATCATGATTCTGAACAGCTGCTTCCAAGTCTCTCAGCGCAGCTTCCTAGAACTGAACTTCCCTGTCCAGTACAAGATTACAAGGGACAGAGCACACTCCAGCAACTGTTCATCTACTAGCTTGTAGAAGGGAGAAGAGGGGGGCAGGGAAGTAGCTTGTTTTGCTTTGTCTGTGTGTTTGTAGAGACACACACACACACCTTACTAGCACACACAAGGGTGACTGCATAGCACTCTGATTGAGAAAAGGAGTCACTCTAAAACAGAAAGTCAGAACCAGTGCTCCCTGAATCAGCTGATTCTGCACAAAACTAAAACTTTTAAACATAAAGCAGTAGCATCCATTGTACGTGATTTCATCAGCATTTGAAATGGCTTAAAATCCTTTTGACTTTAAAGGAGAACTATGAGGTGAGTGATTTCCACTCACCTCATAGTTCTAGCCGACCTGTGACAATGAGACTGTTACAGGTCGGCTCAGTAGATCGGGAGGTGAGCGAACACATACCGGGTTCGCTTGCCTCTCGATCCTGTCACGGCTCTCTGCCAGCGCTGACTGGCGGAACGGACGGGGGAGGGGGCGGGTACAGCTGGCTCTGCCTCTAGATAGGCAGAGCCAGCTGTCACTCATGCAGCTGGGCGGATCCCGTCATCTACGTCGGGATCCGCTGCGGCGTCTGAGCTGTAGCTCGCGGTATACTGAGCTTAGGGTAACGGGAGGACGCTAGTTTGTGTCCTCCCGTTACCCTAAGGAGAACTATGGGGAAAAACACTGACCCCATAGTTCTCCTTTAATATCACTTTAACAGCAATCCTATTCACTAGACTTTGCATTAGTATTATTACACTGGTATGGTCCTCTCTGTGGCATCTTATATGTCTGCTTAGACTCTCTTAAGCTCCCAGTAGCTAAAACAAAGTAGGATAACAGGACTCACTACATTGCACCAGTTGGTGCACCCACTTTACTGACCTGGAGCAAGTATAACAGATGGGCTCAAATGTTTCATACATCTTGACTACATTCTTCTGCTGGGTCACTGGTTCACTAACTAATGAAGCCATCATTAGGCGAGAGCTCAGAACCTACACCTTTAAAACAAGTCAGATATGTCAGCTCCCATATTTCTATCCTCACAGGCTGCCTTGAATTATTTTTTATGCTACTAAAGTAGGGCTGCAACAACTAATCGACATAATCGATTATTGAAAAAGTTGTCAACTTTTTCAATGCACAGGGACGCGGGGAGATGTAGTAAAGAGGAGCAGGTGTGCGGGTATGGCAGCTGCTGATAGACAGGTCCGATCTCTGAATCACGTTGCTGGAAGACTGCACTTTCCCACACATGGTGCTCTATAATGTATTGCTGGGATTTGTATTTCTCTATAGCTGATGGTACATTGTGCTGTATATTATACAGAGGAATACAAATCCCAGCAATACATTATACACTGTATGTATAATGTATTGCTGGGATTTGTTGTACTCCTCTATAGCTGGTGATATTCTGCATTGCGCTGTATAGAGGACTACAAGTCCCAGCAATAATACATTATACAGCGCAATGCAGAATACCACCAGCTGTAGAAGAGTACAACAAATCCCAGCAATAATACATTATAAAGTGGTACAATGCTAAATACCACCAGCTATAGAGGACTACAAAACCCAGCAATAGTACATTATACAGCGCAATGCAGAATGCCGCCAGCTATTATGTACTATTGCTGGGATTTGTTGTATTCCTCTATAGCTGGCGGTATTCTGCATTGTGCTGTATAATGTGCTTTTGCTGGGTTTTGTAGTCCTCTATAGCCGTTGCCATTCTGCATGCATTGCTGTATAATTTTACACTTTCCATTTCACTATATTGCACACCACACTATCTTTTTTTCTTTTTTACTTCCACCGGTCCAAGCTTGCTCCTGTGATGGACTACAACCTCAATACAAACTAGTAGTCCCATCACTGGAGCCATTTTTTAAACTTTATTTTATAGTTTATCCGATTAACCGATTAATCGAACTTAATAATCGGCTAACTAATCGATTTTGAAAATAATCGTTAGCTGCAGCTCTATACTAAAGAGCGATGCTTGTTTGTCTGAAGTTCTGATGTAAATATGAAAGTTCTATGGGCCAAGTGGATTGTGTTAAACATCCCCTTCAGCTGGAGAGGAAAACAGACACTCATTGTGTTATCCAAAGGCTGACGGCACAATCCCGCCTGGTGGTGTCAGTTTTCTGTGCCCTTGTCACATGAGGATAGGGTCAAATGTTATCCATTGTGTTGATCAGTGAATACATCTATCCCCCCTCTTCAGTATTAAATGTCCTATGTTTTTGTCTGCACAGGCTTTTGTAATTATTTCCTGCCCTTATCCTGTACAAAGCTGTGAGGCATATTTATAAAGCAGTGAATGTGACATTAACCAAATATTCATTGCAGGTGAATCAACCACTAAGTAAAAACACATGCAGTAGTTTATTACGAAACATTTTAATACCATCTATTTATGTATTTGTTATACTTTCTACCCAATCTACTATGTATACAAAAAACTCTAATAAAAAAACGTATTGAAACGAAAACACATGCAGTAGAGAGATGCACCTGCAGTGACTGATGAATGTCAAATTCACTGCTTTATAACTATGCCACTTAATATTTTCTAGTTGTCATTCCTATGCGTGTCCTTATTTTTAGTATGTTGCTGTGGTCTCACTGGCATTAGTGAGTTACAAACCTGCTTAACAATGTTGATGTTACTGGCTTATTTATCTATTTTTCAGTTATGAATGGTGGATTTTGTCTTTTTTTATATTCTCTTAAGAGTCAGACATGCATGTTCAGTCAGGCCACCCTTCAACAAAAGAAGCTGAGCTTGCTTTGGGATTGGGGACAGGGTTTCTCACTGACTATACCATACGGCAGCAAGTGGCAAAATAATAAGGCAGTACATCATACCCGCTTGGTGACTGTCAACTCAGGCCTATAATTCCAGTTACTCTCCCTTACTTGGTCTCCTGTTTTTACAATATTTTGCTTAGAATAGTGGGATTTTATATTGCATATTCCTTTCTTTTTTTCCAGGTAAGTATTACCATACTAATGACTAGGGATGCACGGATACCAGTTTTTCTGTATTGAGTACCAATATTTGTTTTGGTACTCGCTGATATTGAGTACCGGTTGCATTGTGCCCCTATTATCATGACCCGTTACCCAGTTTCCTGATTGCCTGTGAAGACAGTGTTCTAGCGAAAGAACACCGGCTTCAGAGGCAGCCCGGCTTCCTGACAATCAGGAAGCTGGGACGCGAGTCATGACGTGCCGCCCGTAAACGTTAGGAAACCAGGCTGCCTACCAACAAGCTAACTTCCTAGCTAATCAGGAAGCCGGGTGGCACGTCATGACCCGCCTCCTGGCTTCCTGATTGGTCAGGAAGCCAGGCTGCCTAGCCAATCCGGAACCCGGGAGGCGGGTCATTACGTGAAGCCGGCTTCCTAGCCAATCAGGGAGGCGGGCCATAACCCACTGCCCGGCTTCCTGATTGGAAAGGAAGCCGGCTCCATGCTCCCTCTTGCACTGCCAGTCAGCGGGAGATCTCCCTCTGACCGGAAGTTCCGGTATCGGAGGTAAGTATCAGAGCATTTGGGCATGTACGAGTACCCGCCCAAATACTCTGTATCAACACAGATACTGCATATCTATAGATAGTGCATAGCTTTCCCTTGCATGTAAAGGAATAGTCCATTTGATCGATATTGAACAGTCAGATCTATATTTCTCTTAGTAAACTACAATCTATGTACCAGCAATTTTACATGTGGAAGCTAATAAACTGAAAATTGGCTTGCATTTGGAGGCTACCCCAGCCATCTTTATAGAGCAACCTATATGAATTAAAGAAATTAAGTTGCATGCAGGGCAGCTAAAACAAGAAACAGTAAGCTGCTTAATCAATGTATAAATGGGTAATTTGTACAATAAATTAAGTTAGGTTAAAATGTGATTTTTATTGAAATAGCGGCTACAAGTGCTAAAGAGTTTGAGAGGGCCAAGGCAGTTGTCCCATTCATCTCTTTAGTTTCTCCCATTCATCTATTTCATTTGTTGTCATCAGGTGCCCATGCATAAAATAGATGTAAACACTGTCTGCCCGGTAGAGAGGTATGCAGTGGGGAGCGGGTCCACACTGCAACTGAGGTCTGCGTGAGGTCCTAAAGCCTTGTTCACACCAAGCGCGTTCCAGTAGCAGAGCAGTTACAGACCGGAGCAAAACTGTGTCCAATGTTTTCCAATGGTATTTTTAGCTCCAGTTCACATTGCAGCGTTCCGTTCCAGAGCAGGTAAAAAAACTGCAGCAGGCCCTATTTTACCTGCTCTGGACCTGCTCTGGAACGCATGGAAACACCCTGGAACGCACTGAAAGCCCATTTTAAACTAACATTTTTTTTTACCAGAAATGGCCCGCCTTTTTTTTTTTTTTTTTAAGGAACTTATAAATATAGAAATTTACTCTTAAATCCAACACTAGCACACCTTCAAAAAATCAACCCCTGAAGTCGCAAGTACTGAAATTTGCATAATATAATTATCTGCGGTATGCTAATTTTGGGACTAAAATATGAAACCTTTATCCATCTGAGCATTTGTGTATGTTGCAATTGTAGGCATTGAGCTGAAGCATCTCTGTCTGGAATACATGACTCCCTGGTTGTTAAATCTTGTCCGGTTCTGTAAACTCACTGATGATGCAAAGAAGCAGCGTGTCAGTGCTATCTTGGACAAGCTGATAACTATGACCATTAATGAAAAACAGATGTATCCTTCCATTCAAGCAAAAATATGGGGCAGTCTAGGACAGGTGAGTAGTTGATCACCATTACCCTATTGCTAAAGAAACACCTTTTTGTACTGTACCTAAACCCCATGATTTTTTTTTTTTTGACTAGCTAGATTGAGCGCTGAGGAAATGTTGTACTGTTTGATTCAAATTAAGATACAAATTGGTGGTGTGTGTTGTCTTTTGTTGGTAAGGTCTCTAACCCAAAACACATTGGAGTCCGGATGGCAGCTTGTTCATCAAGTTTGACCAGAGTTACTCCATGGGCTACAAATATCGACTTTGTTTTTCTGGCCTGATAGAAGAGATTCAGTTTATGTATTCAAATATAACTTAAAGCTATAGTACTTGCTAAAAATGTACATGTGGTTGCAGGATATTTGCAAATTTAAAGTGCTTCACTGAAGGAAGAGTGGAAAAAACAAAAATCCTAAAACAAGAACAGACTTCTAGGATGTCCAAACTTTTGCACACACTGCATTTTGGGTTTTTTTCTTGAGAAACACTGGGAATCTAAAAACTTGCACTTGCAGTGAGTCTACCCACTGCAAGTAGAAGAAACCTGATTACACACATTGAAGTGCACCTCCCCACCCCCAGCAGAGGTGGGGGAAGCTGGTTCTCTGAATTGTGCACAGGCTAGCAAAAAGCATATCCAATATGCTTTGCATACCATACCACCCTCTCATCATTAACATAATTAGTTTAATTTCTGCAATGATTCTGTTTGATAACCATGTTATAACCTTTATATAGCGATTTAAATAAAATAGACCAATTTATTGTGGTTTCCAAATGTATTCAATTTGGAAAGTGGTAATATTGTTTTCAAATGTTACATTTAGCAGAACAGTAGGGGTACACAGCTTTGTGCTTATGACTGTGTATATTTAAAAATATGTATAGTTCCCTAATATATTTGACCTTCCTGATTTTCTAAATGCAGACTTTTTAGAATTGAATGTTTTCATAGTTTATCCTACTGATATGAGAAAGGGAACAAAAGGTCTTGTGTATGTGTGTGTGTATAGATCTTTTTTCAGTCATGTAACCGTATATCATTTATTTATTTTTTTAATCTTGTAATTTTGTTTCTGCATCACACACAACTAACTCTAGTTAATAATGTGTTGTGACGCTGTATTTCAGATCCAAATTTTTCAAAATCCATTAACATTTTCATTCAATTTGCTTTCCACATTCTGATTTTGTTTGTTTTGATTAGCCATCCTATTAACATATAGATTGCATTTTGGTTGAACTAAAACTGGATAATTTATTGGAGAAATACAAATGTATGATATTGCAGTGACATTTATTTATTTATTTTTAAAGATCACAGATCTTCTCGATGTTGTGCTAGACAGCTTCATCAAAACCAGTGCAACAGGTGGACTGGGTTCCATAAAGGCTGAGGTTATGGCCGATACAGCGGTTGCTTTGGCATCTGGCAATGTCAAACTGGTTTCAAGCAAGGTATGCCCTTAACCCTTAAAATACAACTAAACTGAAAATTAAACTGCTAGAAAATAGTCTTCTGCAAAACAAAAAAATAGAAATTATGTCTGCTGATGCATAATTACACTGCATATATTTTTATCTCCGTGTATTACTTTTGGGGATTCCAATTAATTGTATTCCTTTTAATGCATAAATGCACTGTTCTGAGCTCTGATTAATTTGCATTTTTTTTTCAGGTGATCGGGAGGATGTGCAAAATAATAGATAAGACCTGTCTTTCTCCCACCCCAACACTGGAGCAGCACCTCATGTGGGATGATATTGCCATACTCGCCCGATACATGCTCATGCTGTCCTTTAACAACTCCTTGGATGTGGCTGCCCATCTACCCTACCTCTTCCATGTTGTCACCTTATTGGTGGCAACAGGTCCTCTCTCTCTTCGAGCTTCCACCCATGGACTTGTGATTAATATTATTCACTCCTTGTGTACCTGCTCACAGCTGAATTTCAGTGGTGAGTACTTTTATTCTGAATTTACTTTTAGTCACCTGTTTTGCCCGTATTACTCAGAGTAAATGTGCTTTAAAAGTAAAAAGCACCTCCATCAATCCATGACACCATCATGTAGTAGATGTAAAATATTTACCTACTTTTGGTCATTATCTAGCCTGACAAAGGGCAGACAGTGTTTTTGGCCAAGGCTCAAAAGTGCTCTAAGGTCTGTATGCCAAAATGTGGTCATCACAGGCCTTCCTGGGCGCATCGGCCCATTTATGCTTTATAGCAGTGTCTGATGCATGTGCAGCTTTAGTTGTAAAGGCCACAGATGATGCAAGTGCCAGGGCTTACAAACACTGTTGGGCCCTGGGCAAGTTCTACAATGATAATGCATTTGAGGTATGTGTTACATCTACCCAAAATGAGCAAGGTGTGCTGCTTTGTAATTCAAAAATAGACGTCCCCTTTATGAAAATGAACAGCTAGAAAAAACATGATCAGTTTTTGTTGTTTATGAAACGTTCTGTGTAATAATTGATCTATTTGCTCACAGAGGAGACAAAGCAAGTGTTGCGGCTCAGTCTTACAGAGTTTTCCCTGCCCAAGTTCTACCTTCTGTTTGGCATCAGTAAAGTCAAGTCTGCGGCAGTTATCGCTTTCCGATCCAGTTATCGTGATCGCTCCTTTTCACCTGGCTCCTATGAGAGGGAGACATTTGCTCTGACTTCATTGGAAACTGTTACAGAAGCACTGTTAGAAATTATGGAGGTAATGTTTAATATTATTATTTAATTTATGCTTTAATAGTGTTCATTAAAACAGTTCCATGGAGATTTACAGTTTTTTTTTTCTCACAGGTGCTATTTTGGGTGCAGTCTCATAGATATGTGGGCATTTTCATTTACATCTTGGCAAAAAACTGTCCCAGGTTGTCAGACCTCTTCTTTTAGATCCTTTTCTTCCTTCATAAGCAGCACTGGGCAATGGTAGAGTGTGTGACATACACAGAATACTGGATGTGTTTTGGGGGTTAACAGCACATTGTATGAGGAGAGTAGGGCTTCAACTAACGATTATTTTCATAATTGATTAGATGACCGATGTATTTTTTTGATCGGATAAAAAAAATGAAATACCATCTTTTGTTTAAAATAAAATACACAAATGGAGTGTTACAAACATAAAGTTTACTTCAGAATAAAACTGCATGCACAATTTGTTTGCATTTGCAGTGCATTAGAATGCAGGGCATTGCAGTACAACGGGTTTTGAGGCGTGTATGGGATGCCATTGGAATGAGTGGTACCACAATGCACCTACCGCAGCAGAATTTGTCAAACTGAAAATTACGCTTCCCACCGTTTTTATAATTTTTTCTTTTTTTTTTTAAATGTATGTATTAGATATTTTAATTTAGTTTCATTGATTTAAAATTATCTGGATTGAAAAACTCCAAGCGAATATAATAAAATAACCAAACTTATATTTAAAATTGCACACCAAATTCACAAACCCCCATGTGACAGCACATAGGAGATGACAGATTCTCTTTAGGGTGACATTATGTCAAATCATTAAGTTCCACAGTAAATTTGTGAATTAAGGAAGTAAAATCATCATGCAATGAATTGCGGAGAGACAGAAGCATATCTTTTAATGTGGTGTCCATGACAGGCTGATTAGATGTGGGGTATGCATCCAGCAGTGCATTGTGATCATCAGGACTGTCAGCAATATCATCATTGTCCTGAGGGGGCATAGAGTCACTGCTTACCTCCCTCTCTCTGGGATTAGGAGTTACTCTCTTCGATTTTGGCTTCCCTGGGCTGCCTTCAGTGGATGAGCCTGCACTGCCCGAGTTGTCAGCTAGGGTCTCATTTGGCGCCATTAGTTTTTTCCCCATCTCTTTTGTGGACACAGTGAAGGAGGCCGTTGCTCGAGACGAGCCGCCGCCATCTTTGTGGCGTCCGTGAGGGCCGGCGGTTTTGAAGAAATCCGTAAGTTTCCGCGGCCCCCCTTTGTGTTTTCTTTTATTCATACTGGTCCCGAGTGACATAGGATAGTATAGATGAAGAAATCTGCCGTTATCGGTCCCCTGTGCCGTGTCGCTATGCCCCGCTGTGGAAACTAATCCAGAGCTCTTTTCCTATGCGGCCATCTTCCACCACGGTTGGCCACGCCCCCTCCAAAGGAGCTATTCAAGCACACATGGCTTAAATAGCTTCAGCCAGGGAATGTAAACACAGCAAGCAGTGGGTGTGTGTAATCGCCAGCCTGCTGTTGCAATTTGAAATGCCAATAGCAGGCTGGCTAATGCACCTGCCCACTGCCTGCTGTCAATCAGCAGAGGAGAGACTTAAAGGAGAAAGTTCTCCTTCGGGTCCTCTTCTGGCAGCTAAACATTTGGGCATGGTGTGGTCATTGCAAGTTGAATCAACTAATCACAATCAACTAATCGATAATCAGAATCGTTGACAATGATTCCCATTATTGATTATTATCGATTTTTAGTTGTTCCAGCCCTAGAGGAGAGGATCAATTTGTTCAGATGCTTTGTTCTACGTACATGAAGGTTAGTGTAGGTTAGGCAACACTTTTTTAACAACCAATCCTATCAGAGGAAACTTTAACTGTGTGATAATCATATTGATATGAAGACCTAAAAAGCCTCATTTTGAAAAGTGTTGGGGCAGGGCTGAAAGGAGACATCAACAGAAAGGGAAGCCGTCGGAGAGAGCACAGTCTTACACTCCCTATCCTACTTTTATTATATAGTCAAAATGTACATTTTCCTTAAAATGGTAATACTTACACAAATCATTTTTATGTAAGTGCTTTAGAGAAAGCAGAAAATGAACAGAGATTGCATGGAAATGTTTGCTTGAAATAGTTCCATGGTTCATGGTTTACTTTTGATCTTATTAATCTGCTATGTTTTTTGTTTTAGGCTTGCATGAGAGATATCCCAACTTGCAAGTGGTTGGACCAGTGGACTGAACTTGCACAAAAGTATGATTTATGTTTTAAATAAATCTATGTATTTCCTTTTGTCCTTTAGAATTTCCTAATATCCACTTTCTATGTCTTCCTAGGTTTGCATTCCAGTACAATCCTTCACTACAGCCACGAGCGCTTGTTGTGTTTGGCTGTATAAGCAAGCGTGTATCTCATGGACAGATTAAACAGATTATCCGAATTTTAAGCAAGGTATTTCGATTTGTAAAGACTATTATGTGGAACAAGTAGTTTAAAGTGAACCTGTCGCAGGATTTGGGTATTCAAGTATTTTATATACTCCTAACTACCGTAGTAGTAAATGTGCATTAAAAAAAAATCAAGCCCTCATTGACCTTTGAGGATGAATTGCACCACAGTTCCTGCAATTACAAAGTTCACAGCAGAACCAGAAGTAATTCCAGTCCTTTTAGGCAGCTCAGCTCACACTGTTCACACTTGCTTACCTTGTTGCATGCTTGTACATATCGCTAACAACTCCAATATTTCCGTATATTCTGTCAACTGAGGAACCCATCAAAGTGTTTTTGAAGGTATCGATGCTTTCAGCTGGTACAACTAACTGCAGATGGGAATTCCACATTTTTACTGCTCTGACAGTAAGAAAAAAAAAAAAAACCCCTTTATGCAGTCTAAGATTATACTGCATCTTGTCCAACTTCTTGTTGTGTTCACATGTCATCTTCAGAGGTTTTGGCTTAAACCGTTTATTGCGTATAGTACCCATTGATAAATTTGTAATCATATCCTCCTTAGCTGCCTCTTCTGTACGGTGAACATTAATTTCTGTAGTCTGCTTGCCTGTGAAACTCTATGTAAATATCCTCTTTATTTACTTCCCTTTTTTCCCTTCCTTCATCTCTCCTTCACCCATTGGTTGAGATTATTTTTCTATTGGCTAATCTCCATTCAAAAAGTGTTAGCCACTTGGGGAAGGAAGGAGGATGTCATTGTAGCAAGACAGACTATGCAAGAACAGACCTTTTGAAAAGTTTAAATTCCAGTCACAGCTATCTAAGGATTGCTAGAGAGCTATGACATTGTGCCATGAACAACAAAGCATTTACAGCATTTTCTATGCACAGGTACAGTAGGATGGGATAGCACGAGGAATGGAATTAACTACTTAACCACGTTCGGGCCGCAATGCATCTATATATGGCGGCCCACATTAGTGGTTAAATCAAGAACACGGCTGCTGCAGCCGTCTTCTTGGTGTTCCCCAGGCTCCGCTGTGCCTGTACGTCGCCCAGGACCGGATCGGCGGTTCTCCTCAACGATTGGAGAGAGATTCAGCGGTTTCCCGCCGCTGAACTCTCCTCCGATCACTGGACCCAGAAGTGATGTGTATTGCATCACTTCCAGTGTCACTATTTCGAGCCAGCTAGGGAAGCAGATCTCTGCTTCCTCAGCTTCTTTGGGGTCCCTGGGTAACATTAGGTGTCTGAAAGACCCCTGATGTCTCCATAAGAGGACCTGTCACACCCTATCTGCTATTACAAAAAGGGCTTGTTGCCCCCCTATGTGATAGAAATAAAGTTAGTGTAAAAAGAAAAAAAAAGTTTAAAAATGTAAAAAAATTAAAGTAACAAGAAAAATTTAAAAAATGTAAAGTCCCCCGCCCCCCATGTGCATGCACATGCAGACGCAAACGTATCGGTGCGCCTACGTGCGAAAATTACAATTGCGCTACACATGTTACATATCGCCGAAAACGTTAGAGTGAGAGCAATAATTCTAGAGCCGTTAATTACTGTTAAACTGATGAGCGGTAAAATCGTTTAAAATGTTTCCTATGGGAAATTTTGGGTATTGAAGTTTTTTCGGCTTCACAGGCAAACTCATTTCTAAGGCTTGACATGTTTGGTATCTGTTTACCCGATGTGACCTCATCTTTTATATTTTACCAAAAAATTGGGTATTATATTCTGTTTCTTGCACTAAATGTTTAGTTTTATTTTATCCTAAAAATATTGGTTTGATAAACATTTGCGCAAATACCGTGCGACATGAAAAATTGCCACTAGCATTTTTTTTTTTATTCTATAGGGCCTCTGCTTTCAGAAAATATATAATTGTTTGGGGGTCTGAAGCTGTTTTCTAGCCAAAAAATTATATTTTATCATGCGTGCGCAAATAGTAAGAAAATGCCCAGGACAGCAAGTGGTTAATGGTACAATTACTGTCGTCATGAATGGCTACCATTCTGTGTCCACTGATTCCAGTTGGCATTCAGTTTACTTTTATGGATATCGGTGTACTACGGCCTTTGTGTATGAAAAGTGGTATTACAACTTTTTTTTCTTAATATAGTGAGGTATAAGACTGCGTTGAAAGCCAGGCTCCTTGATCAACAGCTGGAGGAGCATTTATTTGTTTTTTATTTGTAAAAATGTTTATTTCACAAATAAACATTAATTATGGATTGTGCCTATGCTTTAGTCTGTGCAGTGCCTGGTACCT